GGATTTTTCCATGTGGAATTCAGTTTTTTACCCCGCAAAGATCTCACCGTTTTCACGCCTACGTTAAGCACTGTTCTGCACTCGCTGCGTAGCGATTTTAGTACGTCCATATTACACGAGGAGGCGTGAACGAGGTACTGGCGCTGCTAACTTCATTGTTCTTTTAATGCGCTTATGGCTTTAACGTTCATTCGAACGTTACCAGTTGTACTTTCCGCTTCCATAGACTGATTTTTTGACGCAATTAAATTTGAAGGAATATTAATTCGCGAAAATGCCAACGTGGAAAGCTTTTCATAAAAATATTTATCGTATTTAATTATTTATTAATTTAACTTAAGGCGTTTATAATTCGGGTTTTAATTTAAGGTACATTTAACTTATTATTTTTATTCGCGGATTTTTAATTAACCAAGAGAGTAGAGTTATTTAATTGCATTGACATGTTTTGTTATTGTTATAATAGAACGATATTTAATTTTTCCTTCATATCTATACATTTTTTACAGATTCGTTACCTTTATTTTTTAAATTCGAAGTGTTCTTTTATAAAATCGAAAATTAAATCTAAGAACAACAGAAAACGGTTTACATTATAAGTGAAGATGAAATTCGGGGCGAAATGAATAAAAATGATTAGATTCGCAGGATGCTTAAATAACAGAACTGTATTAATTTCGATGATGGAAGTTTACATGTTTTTCATATAAATGATTTTAATTCGTCTTTCAAGAACCATCTCCTCGTTATTGTAAAAATAATCGTTCAATTTTGGTTAAAAATCTGCTAAAGGTTAAATTAATGAACTCGGGAATTTAAATTTAAATTTAAAAATGAAAAAATTTAGAGACAATTTCAGTCGAGGCGAGGCAAAATTGAATTTTAGATTTCAATTCAATTTTAAATTTTAAATAATTATAAATTGAATCATTTCACATTAAGCGAATACAGGAGTCGATATACCTCGAACGATGTTGATTATAAAAATTTCAAAGATGACTCGGCTCATTTTTGCAATCATCGATAGATCATTAAGTCATACTAATAAACAATGCAGTTCCTCCGAAAGTTAAGGTTAAAACAATTGACAAATGTTGCATAAAATGAGGATAGGTCACATAATAGACAAAATATAGCATCAATTATGGAAGCTGTATTGTTTATGCGATGACCTAATATTTTAAGGTAGGTTACTTGATGTTCTATCTAATCTGTATCGAATCCAGTTCTACGTGTTATTCAATAATACCAAGGTTGTTAGCGGATTGTTGCGTAACGAATGGATTTTAGATACCCCTGTTACAAATAATCTAACGGATACGAGCTTTACGAGGATTGCACACGAGCAAAGCAATTCGTCCTCTACGTTCTATCCAATTAACAGAGAACCGTTTACACGAATAACCTCTGTTGGTCCAGTTAAAGCAAGAAGCATAGTAAATAATAACACAACTTACTCGAGTAACAAAGGACCATTGTAATTTTAAATATCGCTTTTAATAGATAAATATGTTCATACGAAATGATCTAAAAGAAAGCTGTTACTCAAGTATGGAAGATATAAAAGAATATTTTAAAATACATGGAATATCGTATAATTATGTGAACCATTTTCTGTTGTTTTTCATTATTCAGTTGATATTTCTGACGTTTTTAATGTGACACGAATATACCGGGTGTTCTTTAAACATCATGATATAATTTGGAAGGTTATTTATCGTATAAAAATAAATCGGAAGAATAAAATGAAAACAGAGTCTCGACAAGAAAATATTTTTTTCTATGGTTCTAACTTACTTAAATACTCCGTATTTCATGATTCTACAGAAGTGAGACTTTATAGAAATTTTCAATAAATTTTGAAAATTTTAGTTATAAAAATTGTTGAAATGATTTATAAAAATTTAAATGCAATATTAAAGAATGCTAAAGAAAATTAAAATTGCTACCAAAATATACGATACCATTAATTATTTTCGACTTTGAAAAGTCGAAAGGTGGAGTTTTCTCATAGGTGGATAATCGACATAAATTTCTGTGTTCCAAAGTGTGTCTATATTGCTTTGATCTTCGTCCTTCATGATTTCTTTAAATTAATCTTTGCACCGATACAAATTCACACAACACAATTTCTTACATTGATCGTAATCGATACTGATAACATTTTTACCAGCATCTTCTCACTTGCTGATCCTCTTCTACGAAAATTTAATCATGTATTCGAGATTTCTCTAGGAAAAGTAAGATTTTAACGATACAACTTTACCAGTCAGATTTTAATACTCTAAATCGTATCGATACTTTGTAACCAATAGTGTTATCAAGGAAAATATTTGAAATTTTATCAAACGACGAGCTCTTAATATAGTTCATGCAGTGTAATACTCAGTATCTGAGTTTCTCCCTCTTCAATCTCAACCTCTTCTTTATACAGTGGGTAATAGAAATAGTATAAAGTTTAAAAGTGAATATTAACCCTTTGCACTCGAGAGGCGACTCTCAGTCTACCATCTTCTTGAAGAATATATTTTTATTACACGCTGTTATAAATGTGAAATTATTTAGAAACGATTCATCGATAATTGTTCATTAAAAGCTGTTCATAAAATTGAATTTTGTCCTAAGGAATTGCCGTTAATTTAAGATCCTCTGCTCGTCGTACAGGGTATTAAATAATTATTCACGACGAACGTACGTCCAAGTCCAGTTCGAGCTTAAAATCTAACGTGAATTATGCTAAGACAATAGTTTGAATTTCTATGAGTTCGCTTAATGTTTATCTATACACAGAGCATCCGTTGTAAGTAAAAAAAAAAAAAGAAATAAGTGTGAAAGAAAAAAATATTTTGGAAGAAAATACGTGTAAGGTTTGATTCTTGCAGGCATCGTTCTTACCGACGAATATTTTATTATGTTATTATGAAATAGTTTGTAATAAAGATTTTTTAATTTCTTTTATAGTATTAGATGCTACAGAAACTTCTACTATTTTTGATCAAATTGAACAATTTAATAAATTTAAAATTATACAAATTACATTTTAATATCATATGGCAATTCTTAGCTAATTTTTAATTAAAATTATTTGTTCAGTAGATAAAAGAATAAGCAAAAACAAACAAAAGTACAATATTTTTGACAAATAAGACAAAATTTTTTAATTGTCAACTATGTGTTAAAATTACGAAATAACATTGTATTTACAACACTTTTTAGAGGATTTTACTGTTTAATATTCCTTTATTAAATTTACTATATTCAAAGTTCAACACAACTTCTTAATATCTTGTAATTTCGTTGCAACGTGGAAGATCAATAAAAACTTTAATAATTATGAAGAGAAAAACTTTTTATTTTCTAAACGATCGCATTTATCCTATTAATCGACAACTAGTGCCATCTAGTACCACAAGCTACTAACTAATTATATTGGTACATTGATAAGTTACAAATTGTAAACTTTCATAATTGTACAAGTTATTAGTTGAATTATTGATACATTTCACAAGTGTCTATTGCACAATGAATGCAGTTTCATTAATTATAAAAGTTTATTTACGAAATTTGGAAGACTACAAAGTAAAATTATTTTTTTCGTATTGTTAATTTTGTTCAAACAATTTAATTTTATACTTAAAAAAATATATATAATCTCATATATAATTGATAATCATTCATATATAATGATATTCTATTTTATACAAATCAAAATTAGATACACATAACTATTTACCATTGTGTGTTTCTTCATGTAATCCTTTTCTTTGCTCATAGATGGCACAACCTCTGCATGACAAAACTTCGCATTACATTATATGCACTTATAAAACTATTTTATTTTCAAACTTCATACCAGTGTCTAAGAAAATTGATATACTTCAGTAACTTAAAAGTTGTTATTTGAAAAATTTCGTCATGCGAAAGGACCCAAGCATTCCTATGAAACTGCGATGCCTCGTAAGAATCGATGCCCATGCGTGACAAATTAGCAATACGAACTTCACTAGCAACGTGGCGGTACGGTACAGGGCACAGCACGTTCCGAATTCATTATGTATTTATAAAGGGCTGTCAATTCAACGGATGGTCCGAGTAAATCTAAATTGTAAATAAGCGCATTGCAGATTTAAAGTAAAAGCATCGATAAGAGTGAGTATAGTATGCGCGAAAGTCTGCTTGGGGAAAAGGAAATGGTCTCTTTTTATTTGTAAAGTTTGAACATCCTCGATATCGAAGATATTCAAGCTCAAGATATTGCAGTTTAACCCATTCGAGGCTGAGATCTGATCACGTGATAATCCCCAGGGAGAGGCATATTCTGATTGGCCGAATCTCTCTGTTTCTACGTACGTATACTTCAATCTTAATTTTTGTGATTGATTACATTAGCGCTTTAATTTTTAAACCAATGTTAATATTAATTTTTATACCTCACATTTTTATAATATAAAATTATATAGTGTATTATATGTTATTTTATATACAATATGTATATTTAATTATTTTATATTATCATATGTATTTTATTATCTACAGTTGTGTATTATATATACAATATACTATGTAATAATTTTATATTATAAAAATATAAAATCCAAAAATTAAAATTATGTACATATAATGCAAAATTGTGTCGTATATATATATTATTATATAAATTATACGTAAAACATAATACGTAATATACTGCAATATATATAATGTCTAACGTAACATATATATTATATTTTTCAGTACTAACTGATATACATTCCTTTTGGCCTCGAATGTGTTAGAAAAAAAAAAGCAAAGCAGCCTGAATTATTTACCGTAATTGATAAAAAGACATATAAAAGATCTTCAGATGTCTGTTAGAAGAGATAAAAGAGAGAACAAAAGCTGTTTGAGGAGAAATGATATATTGAATTTCCAGTTTTTTGATTTTTACAACACTTTGTATTGTCAAAGACGTGTTACGCTCGAATTGACCGCTCTGTCCTTTTTTTGGTTTTTGTCCAAAGGAATTTCTGGCCAAACGCGTGCAATATAAGAAATCTATAGACAAAGGAACCAAAGGAACGAAATTTCTCAGTGTGCTGTCGCAAAGTTTGGTGTCTACTTGGCGTCTTTGTCATTTCGTTGCGACACGATTTGTGTTAAAGGAAGAGGGAACAAAAGCAAAAGCAAGAGGAGACGATCGTTTGTGTTTCTCTTATCTTTCTCGAGGGACAACATGAACCCTTTCCAGCTGACAGATAGCCATCGTTTCCTCGAACTTTTTTCCTTTTTTATATCAGCAACATTGCTAGATTTTTTGCTCTTTGACCTTCTATCGAGTCAGGCGTTGTATTAATCGACATTAATCGACCAATTTCTCTAAGCTTGTAACTTCGAACTAACGTTTACATGTAAAAAGTGTTATTAATTTATCTGAATGTAAATATTTAGATCGACTTATAGATTTAATATTGCTATACGATACGTAAACTACCTTTTGATCGCGAAGTTGTGTCATTTGATCAAGGGGTCCTTTATGTATGAGTAATCATTCTAAACCCATTACAGATTATAATAATATATTTGATCAACATTAAAGATATATGAAACGATATAAAACTTCTGTGTTCTTATCTTTGATAAACAGTATCTTAATACCATTCGTAAATACTTATATTAGTTTACATTAACAATTTAGTTTCATTAAAATATAATAATCTATAAAAAAATTATTATTCAATATATTTCAACTTCGTTAATTATATAATTTTTTGTTTCAGTATAGGATTAATCTTTTTTCCAGACGGTGTCATATAAATCGGTGCGCCTCTGGGAAAATGTGGGTATCTGACTTCTTGCTTCCTCGACAACTTTCAGATCTAAAAAAAAATAAATAAATAAATCAGGAAAATTAAGAATAATGTGGATCACGGATCACTTGTATTTTATTTTCAAGTGGCAATTACCGATATCGGTGACCATCATGTTCTCCTGAGTTTCCAGATCATGAAGAACTTCTCCCCAAGGACTAGTTAACTGTGTATGACCCCATGCGACGTAACTGGCTGAAGGAATACGAGCCGGTGATACACAGGCGACATATAATTGATTGTCATTCGCTCTGGAACGCTGCAGCAACGACCAGTGTAGTGGTCCAGTGGTCATATTGAATGCCGCCGGATATATCAGCATTTGACAACCTGACCAGCAGAAACGGGAAATATGAAGCCATGGAATACCAGTTCACTCTATAGACGTAGGAAGCGTCACAATTCACCAATATACAAAAACAATGTTATCGTCATATTTTAATTACTTCATCGATTCGTTTACGCTATATTTTCAAAAATTAATATAAAATGAGATCATTTGTTCGTGTTTTATATCTTAGAGATTCTTTCCAAAAAGATAAAGTATTTTATAGAAAATTTCCATGTAGTATGTAATTCAGCAATACCTTGTTATATATTCTGGAAAACATTTGAAAAAATTGTTAAGCACATTTACAAGTACAGTTTATCAAAATTCGGAATAATCAAGTATTTTAAATAAGTAAATTGAGGATTTCTTTTCTTTCTTAGAGGAAATATTACATTTTATTTAAAGTCAAAGAAATTTTTATATAAAATGAAAGCTTTATATTATGCTAAGATATTTAATATATTTTTAAAGGAAAATATAAGATTTCAATGATAATTTTTAATAATTCTGGTAGTTATACAGTTGTTCGATTAAATTACTGTACCTTTATTTCGATAAATGCGTGCCATTTCCTCGAACCTAATGTCATAGCAAATACCAATACCTATTTTGCAGCCCTTCGCTTCGAACATCGTCAATGAGTTACCAGGACTAAGTGAATCACTCTCACGGAAAGTAATCTTATTAGGAATGTCGATGTCAAATAAATGCATCTAATAATAAGAAAAGAATAAATAAATGTTAATTACAAATTTTACTATTCGTATTTTCCTACTTTTTTAACTTAATAACTAGAAATATTTTCGGAAATATTTTTTTTCATAAAGTAGATTTTGTCTCGACTCATCGATAATCAAGATTAATTTGGTTGACTCGGGAAGAATTCATGTTGCATGTATCAACGAAATTATATGTTTCTTGTGCTACAATGTAGTATATAAAACGTATGGTTTCTAGAACAGATTTCTAGAGTGAGGGAAAATTGTTTGATGTCCCGCTGTCTTTAATTTTGCTGCCATAAAAGCACATATTACTCACTTTCCGATGCTTTGCTATCAGAGTTCCATCGGGACTCCAAACGGTACAGGTATTGTACAATTTATCACCGTCTCTTTCGGGTATTGTACCACCAACCACATAAATACTGTTCTCTTTAGCTGCTTTCGATAAAGCAGCGCTCGTTTCGCCATCAGGAATAGGTTCAGCATATTGTTGAAAATATTCTGTATCCGAATGTTTTAAATGATTAGAAATAAATGTTTGGTGTTCTGAATGGAAATTATATTAAAAATATTTAAATTTTTTCAATTTAATTGATTAGTAATTTTTCAATTATTGGAATGATTAATTCTTATTTATTAAATTTTATGTTTCAATTTATTTAGTTGATAGTTTCAATATAGACATACAGTGAATTTTATCTGAAAGTTGCAATAAAAAGATACGAATGATAAGATGCTGTAATTCATCTGTAGTAGTGTTCTTTTTATTAGATAGTTATTATAAAAATAGTAAATTATTAGCAAAGGAAAAAAATTATTATTACGTATTCCATATGGCGAATTAAAACATTCAGGAAAAACGACAATATCTGCGTGTTTGCTTTTCGCGCTCGAAATAAATGATATTGTTTTCTCTATATTTTTGATCTTAACTTCATTAACTTCGAGTTGCACTAATGCCAAGCGGAATGCTGAAAAGAAATATTAGAAAAATTAAACGCTTAATGTTGTATATTTTTATATTTTATTTATAATATTCCATGAAAAGTACTTACTCGACATTGTTCGCAATACTTGTTTAGCGATGTTCATAAGAACCATAATATTTTTTGAGGTTATGTATATCACTGCTAGCAATATTACGTAAGCAAATCATGTAAATTTTAAATAATTTTTGATAATCCTGAAAATGTTTATCTTGGTACAATAACCTTATAACATATATTGCGTAATCTTTTAAAGCTTTTCAAAATGAGAATAAATTACAGCAATATTTTTAACTTTCATTTTTTTCTTATATCAAATACTATTATACTCTTTAATTTATAGTTTATATTTGCTATTTTACTTTTTATTTTTTGGTAAGGATAAGGAGTAAAAATGATTTTGTAAAAATACATTTTATTACAAAATGTGTATAAACAAAATTGTACAATTTGTCACGAAAGTAAAATGACGGAATATATTTCCGGAAAACATTATCGTTTACTAGAAGATCGAGATCTTGATTTTCGCTTTTTGTGTTTTCGTCTGTCTGTATAATCTCTTGATTTTTTATTTTTAGCTTTTTCTCTTTCTTTATCCTTTTTCTTATGTTTTTTACTTGATCTTTCTGGCGAACAATCGTGTTTCTTATGTTTCTTTGACTTTTTTGATTTCTTCGATTTATGAGAACTACTACTATTGGAACTACTTCTGTTCCTTTTCCTTTTCTCATGATCATTATTACTATCATTATCAGATTCGGAATACTTTTTTTGCTTTTTTGACTTTTTATCATCTGTTTTATCATGCATGATACACTTTTTGATCTTTTCATCAACATTACTTTTATCATTATCTTCAAAATTTTCTGAATGTTCAGAAGACATTGATCTTCTCTTTCTACCCATTTTTTGCTTGAATTTTTTCGATTCCTTGTCCTTGTATTCTTCATATTTCTTTGCATCTAAAATGAACCCCATAAAATACTAAAAGCTAAAACCTCTATATTTACCATGATCTTTATAAAAATTGGAGGGACCTTTAAAAAATTGTGAGCTGTATCATATAACAACTGAATTCGATATTTTTTATTTTTTTATAAATTCCCTATTTTGTTTTTATATATCACTAAATATTGATTAAACTTATTATTTTTAAAAGTCCCTTAATGAAAAACTAATTATTCATACTAACTTAGAATTTTTGAGTTCTTTGAATATTCTGATTTAGTAACTGGTTGCACCATAAATTCATTTACAGATATTGTGCTTCCACCAAGAGCTAATTTTATTATAAGTCTTCCTGCATCATCATCAAATCCCTCTATTTGACCATAATTATTACTTTGCTTTCCAGCTATGACTTTCACAAATGTTCCTTTCTCAATTTTAAGTTCTTCCTCTTGTTTCTTGGAATCTATATTTTTTTTCTGCAATGTTACTTTATCTGCACCAAGACCCATGCCTTTTGGTCTTAATTCTGGTATAACGGCTGATACAACTCTGTAGTGGTAATAGTAAAATTATCAAACAAAAAATGTTTTTGATTTATTTCTCAATAAATGTTGTATTAAACATACAATATTATTTTTATGTAAAGTAAAATTCATACTTCTCATTTTTACCAATTCCCTTTCCTGGTTGCCATCCCATTCCTCGTAACATTGCTAAACCAAATGCATCAACAGGAATTTTTTCATAATCTTGTAGTGTAGACTTAAAAAATAAAACATTATTAGTTGTACTATAAAACCTATATGTAAATATAACACATCTGTATGTTCATAACGTACCTGTTCCTTGCCTCTTAATGACTGATCTTCTACTAAAGGTAAACTTAAATCTTTTGTTTCGGTTTCCTGTTCTTCCTTTGATTTGAGTTCTTCTATTATTTCTTTAGCAGCTTGCTCCTCTAAAGTAACAATTTTATTATTTTCTACTGCTTCTGATTCTTTTACTGATGTTTTTGGTGATGCACTCCCATTAGATAATTTTGATTTTTCTTTTTGATCAACGTCGGTATCTTCTGCTTTTTCCTTATTTGTCTTAGGTTCAAAAATGTCTGCATCAATTTTATTAAGAATTCTATCATGCCAAGTCTTAGAACCTAGTAAGGGAATAACTAGAGGTTCATCTTTCTTTTCTTCCTCACTGAAATAATAAATTTTTTAAGATATTTATTGAAAAATTTTAGAGGTTAGGTTAAGATTACGTATTTACATCACTTGTATCTTTTGAACTTACTCTATTACTTTAATATCCTTCTCATAAAGACATTCAATATAATCTACTTTTTTTTGTTCTTGTGGCACAGTATTTTTTAACACAGGTTTTTTAATAGATTTCGCGAAACCAAAAGAAATCTTCTTTCCTTCCTCTGCCATTTTTTTGTTATTATAACACTGATTTAAGGATTAATATATATACTTAAAGTATAAGTAGTAAAGTCCTCGATGTATGTACATTAATTTAATATCATATTCCCTTAATCGATTTATATAAACTTACAACTTAGTAAAACATTACTACAGCAAACGTATGAATAAACGACATTAAACATTCACTAACCTATACGTGTATTACATAGGTGGTATTTTCTTTTGAATCAGAAGATCGATATTGTGTTCGTATGGAAGGTAAATAGGAAACCTGTTTCCCTTGGAGCCATATTCTGATAGGTTAAATTTTCTGCTGGAGCATTTCTAATGCATAACATATATTGTGATAAATTTAATTATGTATGATTTAAATAGTGACTTGTTTTACATAGAAAATAAACGACATTGATGATAGATGGTTCATATTATACATTTACTATAATCAGTTACAAAAATAAATTCAATAAAGGTTGACTATATATACACAATTATATTTTCAATTAAATACAAATTTAATTATTAAATATTACAATATTACAATTATTACAATTAAATAATCAAATATTTAAAATTGTAACATGTGCAAATTTGTATCATTTATTTGTTTTTTTCAAGATTCAATACTACTTTCTGATCTACATACTACAAGCATTTCGTTCTACCCTAGTTTATGCATCACAGCGCATGACAGTGCTATTCTGTTTTGTGCTGTTTACAATTTATTCAGGATCATTCTATTTTCAGATTGCACTCTCTATTCCGCTCTTTTTGTAGTCTGCAAATTACTGCATAGAAATGCAAAGTGAAAACTATCGTTTGTTGAAATTTGACGTTGTGTTTTTTCTGCAAGTAATTAAAAAATTGTTTATTTAAATAGCTTATTATCAATTTTTAGTTATCTAAATAAATATAATTATTATTTACAATGCTTGATCAACCTATTTTATAACGTTATAATACAAAAATTTGTTTGTTTAACAATAATTGTAATTTCTTTTCTTTACAAATGTTTTTTTTAGTTCTAATTTTAATACCAGATTTTTCTAAATGATTGATACTTTGCAGAATAGCTAAATAAAAAGAACAAATTTGAAGATATTTAATAGTTTCATAAACTGCGTTTTATTTCATATTTTATTTATTTACTACTTTGTTTTTTCCATTGCTTGATTACATATATAATTGTATTAGATTCCAATACGATAATCATAATCATTTATAAAATTTATTATTAACCTTTACATATCAAACCGTGATTTAGTTATACATGATCAAAACGCTGGATGCTAAAAGACTAATCCTCTTTTATTCTTTTTCTAAAAATATGAACTAACCTAATTGCGCATTATCGGATTAATATTAATGCGCATCTCCGTGTGCGCAGATGACAAACAGGTGGGTGAGCCACTCCCACTACTTTCTTCTTTGTTCATGTGTAGTAGCTCTTAAAGCTTACTGTGTGAGTGTGTTTATGTATCCTTAATCTCGCCACGAAATGACGATAGATTTGATTGGTTGATTATTCGTCGAAATTTTCTTCCGAATTTTCCTTGCTTCTATCATTTACTTTAATGTTTTTTAACTTCATTATCACTCAGTTGAACAATAACAAGAACTTTACCTCTTGACGTCCTATAGACGATCAGTACAGTAATGCATTACTGTACCCGTTCTGATAAACTTCATTAAATGATCGTCTTTGATCCTGTTGCCGCGCAGAAAAAAGAGGAAGCCATTTACCTATCTTTCGGTACAAGAACTACAGTTAAAAACGGCGACCAATTGAGAACGGTAGTTAAGTCCACGAGTAGAGGGGTAAGCATGTTTTAGCAGCGACAACAGTACGCGGTATGTAGATACGAAGCCGGTGTAAACCGGGAAGCCGTAGTTCGTGGACCGTAGTAAGCGTGGTAACACTGGACAGTCAACGACATTTGGAAACCGGTCACGCTTTGGAATTCAGGTGAATCTACTTTTTTTAAATTGTGGTTAGAATGTTTCAATCATACACTATTATACATTTAAAAATTGTATTTTAAATATATTAAAAACTGTATTTTTTAAATATCATAATTTATCGAGGATTGGAATTTTTAACTTGCATTCGTGAACATTAGTGAGTGAGAGACATGCATAGTTTTCGCGCGATTTTTAGTTTATGTCACAAGTATTAGTGTTTGTTTTATATGCACTGGAAACGTTGAGATACACAAAAGAAATTTGAGATATCTTACGAAACGTATTAAACGTGTCAAGATGTACATCAATAAATAAAAGCGAAAGGAAAACAAAATTTTTTTAATTTAATTATTGCCGAGCATTAGATGATTATATTATCTAGATAATTTCAATAACATGATTCTTAATATCTGTATAAGTAATTAATCAAAATTTGGATGCCAAAATTTATATTGTTAGACATTATGGTTTAAAATGAACAATGACTGAATATTCAATAATAGATTCATAGTCTTGAAAAATTAAGTTATTAATCTTGAATTTATATTTTTATTTATATAATTGTTCGAAGCAGGTATATTTTCAATTTTATTATTAAATACATAATTATTTCAATTATTGAAGGTACAAAAAATTGTTTGACAATTGATATTTTTGATTAAAGTTGCAATTATTAGTTATTATATTTATTTATATCATAATTATAAGTTAACAAAATTAAATTTATAATTTTTTTAAACTCTGCAGAAACATCTTTTAAGAATTTCTGAAAATGATCATAATATTTCATACGTTTTTATAAACCCATAATATATTAAAATCTAATATCTAATTTGTCACGTGTAATAGAACCATAATTAATTTTTTCAGTATCCTCGATCACCTGTCCCACTCTTTGCTTCAGTATTCAATAAATCACCAGAAATTGAATTATAATTGTATTCTTGTCTTGTCACGGAGCTCCTTACTTATCCGTTATGCAGTTTCTACGTCGAAATCTCATAGCGAAACCGGTTAATTACTGTTCACCGGTACATGGATGGTCAATCGGATCGAAACACCGATATAGCAAATTAAAACATTATATTGCAGTCGCAATATATCTATAATTTAAAGTAACAACGTATAATTATATTCAATATCATATGACAAGAAAACAAGCAATTGCGAGTTGACATTGACAATGCAATTTCAAGGAAACAAGCATCAAGTTGACCGAGAGAAGCTCAGCTTTTCCATTTTACATTTCAAACTGCTATTCCAATACTCAGGACTTTTGCCTTTGGTCAATTTTACCACTTTGTAATTTTGGGTCTACCAAATATAGATTATATGGATTGCATAAGGTGCCAACACCGTAGATGACTTTCCTGAAAATGTACAAACCTGCTGTTATGTATTCTATATATTTCTACTTTTTTTAAAATTATTTAATATCTATTTTGACATTATAAAATTTTATACACGTACTTTTCTAAATCTCTTTTCAGAAAATTCTTTTCAAAATTTTATTCCAGACTTCAGTTGGTATTTCATGAATATGTATCTTAAAAGTAAGCACTGTTCAGGGTTGGGATATATGGAGTGAACATATTGACCACAATATTCAATGTCACCTTCTTCGTTCCTTCACTTTCCAAGTAAGGCTTCTGTTTTGTCCTTTTGTCCTTACAATAATCTTACAACACTTTTACAATATATTCATGTTATGAAATACGTTATAACAGATTCAGTAAAGGAAATGTCCTGCCGGGATACTGCAAGAAACCTGTTCAGAAAGGCTCGAAATGTAGTTGCAAATTAAAGCGGTCCGCAAGGATAACTGTAAAATACCGAGTGTAAGTGTACGGAGTCGATGCTAACGGAGGAGATCTTCCTGCCAAAGATTTGTTCCGCTATGTCGAAACGTTCCATCCTTTGTTTCCTCATCACTTTTTTTTGTCGTCTTTTCATCGCCGCAACAGTGTTGTTCGCCTTGTTCTTAACCGTGCAACAGCCGGGCAAAACCCCATCGTGCTTCATATGTAGCGTTTCATTCAACGCGGTTCACGAACCCATGAACCGATTCTTACCGATTAAGGTAAAAAGATACGTTGATTTCACGGCCGACTCATTATCGCTTAAGAGATCCGGTCTCATGGTTGTCGAAAGACGCAAATTTAAGATCAAGGTTCCAGTAACTCTTGTTTGCCGTTTCTTTTCTCTTCCTTTTTCTCTTTTATCGTTGGAATATCCATAGTGCAGAAGATTGATGTTATTGAGATGGATAATTACAAGTGAAACATGTTCCAAACAGTATACCTCTGTAAATACCATGTAAATAATAACAAAATTAAATAACTACTAGAATATCATTAAAATAATTTATATAATAGATTGTTTATGTAATATATTGTACTGCAATTTTAAAATTATATACCTATGTGTATATCTTTTGTAAGTACTGTTTATGTTGTTTATCATGTCCAAGTGTTTCCTCTGCAAGCATTTTATGACATAAACAGGTAATAAACAAGCAAAAACTCATTGTAGAGATTAAAATATTTCGTACAATGTCATGAAAACAAATTTTTAAAAACAGGATAGTAGGCAGTTTTCTCCAATTATGAAGTTCAAGTTCCCATAAATATTTGAGAACAGCGTTCAACTACTTTATTGTGATATTTACTACAAACAGTGCAAGGTTTCGTACAAATCAGCTTTCGTAAGAGTATTCGTTTCAAGAAATATGCAAAAATATTAAAACACAATTTCTATACTGTTTCCCAATTTAGATTACGAAAAGGCACTTTTTGTCACGCTGATCTATAATAGTAATCGTTGAAAAAGGTCGTAATAATAATTTTTGACAGATTCCATTGTTATCATATGTTTCGTAAGCGGAATCAACTGGCGGCGCTAGTGCATTGAACTCTTCTTGTGCCTGCGCGCGCACGCGTATCGACGAGTCGAATTCTAGCTCGATTTCGCAGGAGGATGCTATGGTAAATGTAGTGGAGTGAACAATCGCGCGACCGGATTTACGTGTTGCCCGGAACTCGACGTATAATGCCGCGGAAATGGCTGGGAAATTATATTTGTTATGGGGAATTGGCGGCGCGGTCGGGGACACGATTTCATCTGACCGCGCGAATTTACCGGACGGAACGGTCATTAAACGTCTCTCACCTGGCTTTCATGGTGTCGCTAGAGTTTGGTTAAAATTTTCCTCCACATTCATATTTCATTTAACCTGGTAATTATCCTTATGTGTTATTACTTCTTTTTTTCCTTTTTCCTGTCTCTTTTAATCTTAATCTCCTTTCTTTATAGTTCATTCCACTGACATTGGTGAATGTATGTAAAGCTGTGTATCCAACAGAGTATTAAACGAACGACCGATGTATGAATGGGAAATACTTGACGGTATAATATACGGAAACAATAATGACAATAATAATAACAACTTATTCATTTTAAGTCCGGTGAATATTCCATTCTGAAATATAAATTCGTATAATACCTACGTTGAAATATTCTACGTAAAAATATTAAATACGTGCGTGATAGAAAAAATTAATTATTGGTTTCGAATTAATGATATAGAGGAGCCAAAGAGGTTATAATACTTAACTAATACCACGATATCGCTAGTAGCGAAAACTTTTGTTCAAACAAAGAATGTAACAATTATTTTACCTTAATTTCAGGTAAATCATCATGCGGCTGCTTCTGCTTAAAATATCGCTGTCGCTGCTTTTGGTGGCGGAAATTGGCGCCGCAGGAGTTGGCAAAGCATGGCAAGTTCTTCCATATACAACCGATTATTGGAATCATCCATCGTGGCCACGGCTCGACTCTTCTGCATTCGAAGTTCGCAGCGTGAGCGGTGTGGGCCACCTTAATCCCCTGGAAACAACTCAGAAGAATCTAAAACTTGAACAATCGAAATCCATCGAGCCTAACACCCTCTTGCTATCCAAACGCTCTGTACTCGGCCAAAAATATTTGAACCAGTTTAAACCTATTATTGAAGATTCTTTCCGCGATCAACATGAAAATCGCGACGAAAGGAATGATGCAGGAAAGGAGAAAAAAATTTTGTTACCAAAGGATGTTGCAGATAAAGCAAAGGATAGTGTATCGAGAGTACGTCGCGATTCAGAGAACGAAACGAAGCTGGAACAAATATCTACCTCGAAAAACGTCCGAGAGGTACGACTAAGCTCTCCAGACACCTGGTCCACTCAACCACTCTCCGTAGAATTTCCTCACAGAACCGGCCTGGATCAGATGATCCAGCAAACAATGGACGACGACGATCTGCCGAATGCAAGAGGTTATCACGCTCCTCGAGCCGATTTTGTAACTAGTCAACACAGAAGGAGTTATGAACACAGAGAAACCAGAGATATGCCAGTTACTAGAGGTTATGATGATTATGACATTCCATGGTACAGAAGCGCCATTAGAGATCGAGAATACGATCCCCTAAGTTATCGTCGTGGGTACAGTTATTACTACCCTGATCGATACAGGACTGAAAGGGACTACTACATGCGTGTTCCTAATGATTATTCTTATTACTATGATCGATACAGAGACGAAGATTTGGATCTCTATGGTCGAAGTCGACCCACGCCAAAACCCAAGAGAATCATTTACTACGCTACTCTTCCAGAAATAATTAGGAAACCTGTGGACCTGAGGAATTACCCTAGACCCTACGATGGAACTAGAACACCAGTTTCTAGGGATGGAAGTTATAAACGTATTCCTGGGAACGTTGATCCTAGTAGATATCGATATAGACATCTATACGACGGTTATGATAACTACTCGAAAAGGTCGAGCTTGCTGGATAGACCTTATCCTTATTCCGAAGAGGAGAGTCGTCGTAAGGTGACGCTAGAAAGTCTTCGAAACAACGACCCATTTGACCAGAATAACGACAGAAAATTGGCTAACCAGATCTCGGTGAGGAATGACGGGAAGCTACCATGGCCTGTACAGATTGGAACGGAAGTGAGTGTGAAGGACGATGAAAGAATACCTGGAAGGAAAATTTTTGGAGAAAATAATGGATATGAGAGATTCCAAAACGCACAGTTGCAGAAAGCGTCAGATGCGACTGGGTCCAGCGAATTACAGAGCGATAATTGAACGCTGAATATGCTTTTTCAGAATTTAGTAGTGAATTTTGAAAAGAATTTTAGATACCGTTCGCTTTGACGTATTACTGTCTTTTTCTATTGAATGTTTATAGACCATTGGTTTACTTTTTCTATTTATCGTTATTTATCAAATCATTGTTCTTGGTGTTTCCTTTAGTAATTATGATTACTATACAGTATTTTAATGCGGAATTAAATAGATGTAGGCGTTGTTGTATCACGTTAACATGTATAAATTCGATTCGTTTCACACTGAAATGCCAAGCTAGGTGTCACGAAGTTTGGTGATGGTTCAATCGTTCTCATAGCATGATACATATTTAAGTCTCTAGAAAAGGCGAACTGTATTTATTTCTAAATGATATTGAAAACGATATTGTATTGTACATTTTGTTTATTAATATACAGCGAAACAATTTTAAAAAGAACTTATGCGATCCTAATTTCCATCGATCCTCTGATATGTCTTAATCATCTTTGTCACTTTTCTTAACAGAAACTTCGATAAATCTTTGGAGAAGTGATTTGCTGTAGTTATTCGATTTAGTTCAGTTATCCACGAATTAACCTGTAACGATTTAAAGGTAGATAAACGAGTCAAAGTTTCGATTATTAATCAAAGTTACCGAGTCTTGAGGTTTTGCATCAGTGATCCTAGATAATTCCTTCGGTGTTATATTCAGAATATTACAAATAACTTCTTCGGTTTCTCTTTCACACGTTTCACTTTGGTTTAATGTTCTCTGAGCTTCACAATTTTCTTGATGCTCGTATAGTTTGTTCAAAAATTCCTAATACGAAATAACATTTCTTAAACTCTTTTATAGTCTCTATAGTCTTTACAGATAAAAATTTAACTACGTGGGACTAATTCGAATTGAAAATTTGTGCCATAAAATTTTCTTCGTTCAATATTCCATTACTCGAAGCATTAAGTAATATTTTCTATTCTTTCATTTTTCTTTTTTAATTTTATTTATTTTTGAAAACATTGTACGTACGAAAAAATGTCTATGCATATAATTAAAAAGATTAAAAGATTAAATATTGTCAATAATGTCAAATTCATTATACCTTTATAGCGTTTAAATACTCGATATTCTGGTTCTTAGTCATCAACATTTTTGCTTTCATAGTCTTGATAGTCTCTTCGTATTTAGTTTTAATAACTTCAATTTCCTGTTGCATCGTTTCTTCACATTTCTTGGCACATTGTGTTTCCATCTAGCGTTAAACAAATATTAAATGACTTGTCGTGTACGTGAAAATAAATAAACAATTTATTATGCAATATTCTACCTTCTCTTTCATGTTCGTTTTTGATTTTTCAATGTCCGAGAGTATTTTACCCTTTTCGCCATTTAATATCGAAATCTGACAAGAAAAATTAATGGATGATTAAAGGTATACTCGCAAAGTGTTAAGTGTTAATCATGCTTAACAATTTTGTCAAAAATATGTACTTTTGCTCTTAGCTGCGAGTTACTGCTACGAATATTGCCAATTTCATTTTCCAAATTCTTTATTGCAGATGTAAGTTGATTTTTCTCTTTACCCAAGTCTGTCAATTGACCTTTGTAACTGTTCAGTAAGAACCCCTTGTTGGCATTGGCTGACTCTGACCGTGCTAATCTAAAATATTAACCCTTTGCACTCGGTGATTTTTTCGTTACAGAAAAATAGTAATTCGAAGACTTTCTGCCATAAAGTTTAGGATATTTTCATAAAGGTAAATAAGAAATCGTATGCAAATTAATAAGTAGAATTATTTTATTTCGACATTCTACGCATCATTGGCTAATTTTAAATTTGGTATATTAATTAACACCGATCTTTAGAATCTGATTAAACGATGCCTGAGAGTTACCTCTCGAGTGCAAAGAGTTAATTTCTCATAAATTTGTTAATATCGAAGAAATCAAATTATAATCAGGCGTCATTTCTGTTTCGTATAATCACGAAAATATCCAGGTACGAATCACTAAAGCCACAATAGGTGTCCATTTGAGAGTAACTCGCGACAGTTTTACTCTCAAGTGAATACGTAGCTTTAGGTACCAATCCTCGAGCCAACGATGCACGATCCAATCAATTTATTTTTTATACCTGTTTTTAAGTTGAGCAATAGTCTCCGAATCTTCCTTAATTTTCTTTTTCAGATTCGTCAATTCTCTGCTTTTATACACCTCTCGGAAATTCGCTGTGCAGTGTTCCTTTCCCATGGTATGCTGCAGCCAGTTCCTCGTGTCATCTATCTTCCTCCTTAAAGAAAGGTTCTCGCTGATCAGATCGTTCAAATTCGTTTCAGTGGCCTCCATATCTTGCTTCAGCTGGTCAAAGCATTTACTGATCGACTCGTGCTCCTCCAATTTGTTTTTCAAAGTCCTCCGAGCTGCCGCCAATTCCCGTTTCAATTTCTTCGATTTCGCCACTGCCATCCGTAGCTGATAAAAGCGAAATACGAAATAAGCCTCCCTCTGTATCAGTTTGGCAAAGAATTGGTATTTGCTTTATGCCTGATTTTACGACTTCTTATACAGGAGCGTCGATTACGTTGTATAAAAATGTATAAATTACCGAATTTATCATTAATAACAAATTGAAATTGTTAATAAGAAATTGCTAAAAGTATAAAAATGCTTAATATAAATGTATCACGGAAATTTATATAAATTTATATTCGAAAAGCATAAATAAAGTTTATAAATTATTACACTTATTCTTAATAACAAATTAATATTGCTAGTAACAAATTATTCACGCTGTAAATTTATAAACAAAGTGGAAAATTTATAAATTATTCACTATTACAGCGGGAAAGTGATAATTAACAGAATTGGTAAAGTTCGGAATATCCCAAAAAGTATATAAATTATTACATTTATTGTTAATAATAAATTAATTTCGTTAATAACAAATTGTTCGCAATGTATATTTATAATAGAAATGAAAAAATTAATAAATTATTGGCTATTAAAGCGGAAAAATAATTAATAATGGAATCGGTAATGTTAAAAAATTTCTGATTGGAGTGGGGAGTTCGGCCGATCGACGGCTATATAAGGGGCGACGCGACGCAGTAGAACTCATTTGTCGGTTCGACTCCGGGAGTGTCACATCTAAATTTTCGTTGTGCGCGAGGGGTGGGGGTCGAAGTGAGGTTGGGGTTGGCTACCCTACCCTCACCCCACCCCATTAAACAATTTATTAATAATTTTTATTTTGTTTTCAGGTATTAATTATTTCTTTATTTCAGCTTTTAATTATTTTTTATTTTTCAGCTTTTAATTATTTTTTTTCTTTTCAGATGTTATTTATTCCTTTCTATTTATTTTTATTTGACATTTCGAATATTTCGTATAATATTCGAATGTCTCATCGTTGGGTTGTTTATGTCTCATCGTTGGGTTGTTCATATTTCATCGTTGGGTTATTCATGTCTCATCCTTGGGTTCTTAATAATTTTTTAATTTTTTTAGATTTTTCTTTTTTTTCTTTTCAGGGTTCAATTATTTTTCTTTCTTCAGATTTTATTTTTCCATTTCTATTTATTTTCACTTGAGAATTCGAATATTTCGTATAATATTCGGATGTTTCGTCGTTGGTTTCTTTCTATCTCATCGATGGGTTGTTCCTTCTACTTGGTTAACCTTCATGGTTTCTACCATTCATTTTCTTCCCTCGTACTAATCCGTTTCCTTTCAGATTTATATTAACAATAATGTATTCTGTTTTAGCTTTTAGATTTCTCAGGATTCTCAAGTTTCCTCAAGACTTTGTTTGAAACACATTAATGGATGACGCGGGATGTGTGTGTTTAGATCTAAGTAGACTAAGTAATCATAAGATAGATTCTTAGACTAAGTCTCATGTGCGTGCTATCTATACAAAGGTAAACTACCAAATTTGGAGCGAATATATTATTTCACATCTTTCCGTTCTTATCCCTCTCGATTACCAAACAGAACATAATTGTTCTCGCGATAATCGCGATCGTCCTTAAGTACCAACTAGCCTGCGCGACGTACTCTCGTGTACTTGACAATTTCATGCTTCATAAGTCATCCAAACGATTTGTTCCGACACTCACCCTCGCCACTGCCACCCTTGTCATGCATCGGTTCTAGGGTGGTCGGTGGGCTGGCACTCATCTGGGATCAATCCGAGGGTCTGTCGGCCCTAGTCGTCCTGGGCACCAGCGCGTGCACGACCGGGGTATGGGCCCTGTAGCCGTGACACTGCATATGGGCCTACGGTCAGACCCCATGGGATGATTAATTTCTCCCCCATGTGGCAGGGGCCTGCGTGACCGGCTACAGGGCCTCGCTAGGGACCCTCGGCTTGATTTTGGGTGTTTCGCTGGTTCGTCAATCGCTCTCGTTCGCGAGTAAGTCATAGCAGGGTCTGTGGTGGCTGGGTGGGCTAGGTTCGGTCGGGAGGGTGCCGAGGCATGAAGTTGTCTTGTACATGAGAGTACGTCTCGTATGCTAGTCGGTCTTTCGAATGATCGCGAACTCGTTCGGGCGCGTCGCGATTTTCTATTTGCTCGCGTGTTTGATATTTCATTCCCTATTTTTATGGGAACTTGAAAATATCTTAGCGTTGCGACAGTAGAGTTTCAGTATATCGAATCGAAGTTCCCTTTGTAAGACACGAAATAAAATAATGTGTCAGTAGAGTCACTTTAACTTAATTCGCGCCAAGTTAGGTTAGGGTACCTTTGATATGGATAGCACCAGTAGGCTGCGCCACTAGGGCGCATGTCTGGGTCTCGATGCGTAGCCACCTCCACGTGGTGGGACCTGGTAATTGGAATAATTTTGCAAAGATTTATCTTTGCAAAATGATTCCAAGCTAAGAGCTACGCATGCATTGTTATATAAATTAACACAGATTAAGATAGTTGTAAATTTAGACATCATTTTTACTACGTGAAGCATCATCGATATACAAATTCCACAATATCAGTTTAAGTTTTGCACAGAGTTTCCAGAAAATGATTACTTTTTCACGATTACAGAACTAATAACTAGAGTGTAAACTTATAATAAAAACTTATAATAATTACACGAATATTTCGTGTAATATTCGAATGTTTCATCATTGGTTTGTTTATGTCTCATCGTTGAGACGTTTATATCTCATAGTTGGGTTCTTCAATCCATTTAATTGATATTTATGGTTTATATTTGTTTCGTTTTCATTATGTTCTACTAATTTGTTATTAATCTGTTTCTTTTTAGATTTTCAGGATTTCAAGACATCGTCGTGAAATTGAAAAACGTCAACTACCTTGAAATGTATCGTCTTCTAGTTATATACCTTTTTATGTAGTTTACTCGTAATCCTCTCGTGACACTTTAATTTTCTGTAAGATTTAATTTGATAACCGCTTCTTCTTCTTCGGTCATTCGAACGTGGGCCAAAATTTTCGAAAACGGAAGTACAGATACGAACGATTCTTTCTTGCAGTACCTCATTTTCCTTACGAGCTTCGGCTTTTACATTTTCCAAAGACCTGAATTATATAAGAATTTGTATACATAACAATTTTTTTAATTATCATTTATACAAATAAAATATTTTACTCAAATTTACTTCTTGTACTTTTCCTTCACAATTAATTTCGCCTTTAGAGCTTCTTCGAACTTCTCCTTTGTCAGTGCTAGTTTTGCCTCGAGTTCCAATATGATTCTCTCGTATCTAATAATTACAAGAAATTGTTTGTATTGAAAAGTTATTGTATTTGTATCATTATAATTATATCAGAATATCATTATAAATTTTGCTTTTAAATAAATCTGAATGGAATATGAAGATTAATTAAAATTGTAATATCTTTTTCGGTGACTTTCTTTATTTGTAATTTTTTCAGTATATTTAAAAAGTGGTGTCATCTTTTATTAAACGATTACACTAAATTCACAGCATTCTATTTGACCATTTGTTGCATGCGGTAACTTACCGGTAATATCAACTCAGTATTACCACGCGAGGTAAGTCATACGTTTATATGAACTAAATATTAAACGATTAGTAATGTAATGAAATCATAGGAAGACATGATTGTTTAAATAAGTAATGCTGGACGAGTGTACGATTTATATTTCTTTACTAGGTTAATTTAAAAACAAATTAAATTACAGGTAATGTCGTAGTACTGCATTACCAGTTGTACAATGTTATCGACTTATCCGAATTCTAGTTCACTTTTTGCCTAAAGATGTCACTAGTCATCACTTATAAACATTTACAAAAGTAAGAAGACAGATGTATAAAAGTAATAACATTTAATTATCTTTAATGAAATGTAAGTAAAGATACAACTAAATATTATTTGCACATAGAAGAAAATTATTTCTACTAATTTCTTTAATATACCAAGTATAAAGTATATTAAAAGGAATCATTTCCATGTATATTTTAATTAATCTTCATTTCATTCACTATGTTGGTCAACTACACTTTTAACATATATCGATTTTAGCTACACTCTGTATAATAGTTGTATAATAAATTTCATTAACCCAAGACTACATAAATTTTGGCATATTTGCATGTGTTTGAATTTGTTCCGAATTATTAGCTGATTAAAGAATCGCCAGACTTTTTTGATTAAAAAACGTCCGCTTTTATGTATTCTGTATAAACTCACTCGGCCTCCTTGTTCGACGATATTTGCACCTTTGTCCGCTGCTCAATGCGCTAATTCGATTCGACGTGTATATTTCGACAGGGGGGCCAGAAAAAGAAAAATTACATTAGCTATGCTGGTGATATTGTTTTAAAAAAGTCGTCGTTTGTTCTCAGTGAAAATTTGAGTTGTACAGCGGTGTAGATTTCATGGAAGGTTTCAACACTGGGAATGTATTTCTGTTTTACCAGTTAACTACTGAAGGTAAATTACCTTGCTAATATTTCCCAATAATTTTAATTCAATGATTTTAATAATTATACCCGCTTATCTGTGAGAATTTGTTTCCAATAATTGATATTTTTAATTTTTATTTTATTTATTTTATTTTTAACAGTTATTTAGTTTTTATTTTATGTACATGTCTTTACTATATTTATATCTATAGAAATAAAAAATAATTTCCAAGAATATTAGATAAAATTTTCTGTTGAAACTAACACGTGTTTTAAATTCTGGAATCTTATATGAACATATGAAAGAGCTGGCTTGAAAAATAATCGATATATTAATAAAAACTGATATAAATTTTGAACGCTTAAATTCTTCGAATTCAGTAACACACGATTGGAAGTTTCGATGAATCGTTGGGATTTTCGTTCGAGAATTTTTCAATATTTTAATATACATACTCTTTGCATACCTCAGTCCCTCTGTTGAGGGCTTCCTCGATGAGCCATTGAGGGGCAGGATCCTCGTCGATACACCAGAATGCCGACGATTTTTTTTGTTTCACACAAACACACGATGGTGTAAAATAATTCTCATCTGTCATTTTTTTATTATCATTTGAACATTTTTCATTCGAGTGCAAAGCTTCGATGGTTGTTTGCGTGCAAATGGTTTTCGTTTCCAAGTTGCTCTTTTGATCTGAAAAGTATTTTTATCTGTCACAAAATATGTTACAATTTTAATAATATATTAATAACAACTTTATATAGATTTTACATTAAAATTGAAGGATTTATAGAACACATATTCAACAAAATATTCGAAGTGTTATCGAAGGAGCGTTTGATCACTAGATTCCAATGTGCTACCCGTGTGCTACCGCCACCTGGTGCAATCTCTCGCAAGTACGCTCAATTCACCTGCCGCGTCGATAAGTTCATATGAAATAATAAGCAGAAAAAAGGCAAGCAATTGCGTGAAATTATATCTTTCAAAGTGCAAAATGCAATATTTGAATTAAAATTGTACGAACACGTTTATATACGTAAAGAAATTTGAAATAAAAATTTGAGAACAGTTAATATTTTTATACACTCATACACGAGTATACTATAAATAGAATGATGGATAGGGCCGTAACATTTCGTAATGTATTCAAATTAAGGATCTTTAAATTCAAAATTGTGGAAATTTTAAAGTTCTTTAGAATTCTAGAGTTGTGAGCAATATTAAAATTGTAAAATTCTACATTAAATTATATTAAATTACGAATGTTAAAATTAAAAATTTTTGAAGTTCCGAAATACTACAGCACTGAAATTTCGAAGCTTTAGAATCCCAGGTTTAGAATTTTGGGATAATAAAACTACAAAGATACACAGTTGTAAAATTCTGAAAATTGTAAAAATGTAAAGGAATCGACAAAAGTAAAATAAAGTGATCCAACATAACCTCAAATCTAATGGTGGCTTAAACGCGAGATCTACTTTATCCGGAACTCGTTTGCGTTTGGGCAGCGAAAATTCCACTTCTTCCACGAGGTAATAGGAAATTAGAATCGAAGCACGCGGGTAAAGGGAAGCTTGCAAGCTAACGCAACCTTTAGAGCCGAATTACTTAAACAAAGGCGTTTCCTGCGGAGATTACTGTTATTGGAGGCGACCTGGCGTTCTCGATCGTAGCGAAGCAGCGAATCGACAATGTCTAAAGATACAGTCTGAACGGACGCGAAATTTCTACAAAAGAGCGGGTCTCGGACGGGTAATACGATCGACCGGACGCGACTATCGACGAAGCAAAACGAACATCCTCCCTCCAATCTGCTTGGTCAGACCGTATTATCGGATATTATCGGGCCATATGGAATTTGGGGTCGAAAATAGTCCCGTGCAGGAAATTGCTAACGACTTAAACGTTGGGGCGGTGCGCAAAGACCGTAAGTCCCATGGGCCCAGTTGTGATGGATGGACCTTGACCACTCTGTAATTTGAAGGCGTTATATGCGCACTCTGACGCGTATAGTTTCGCAACGATCCTCCAGATGTCTCCGACTGTCCATCTATTAACCCCGACGATCAACGATCAATGACGGATTCTTATTTACCGAGACGACCTCTGGCGAATTTTTCCTCAACGTCACAGATGTTTCGTCGCAAAAATATCGAGCTATTATTATTTACGTGCTAATTCGTTCTGTTGAATTTATGGTTATTGGAACTTTCAGTGTTCAAACGAACAGCGGAATAATGTGTCCCAAAATTCACGCAAGATTTGAATTTCGCGCCATTTGTATGATAAAGTATTATCACCAAAAATAAAAGAAAAGGTGACAGCTGACAGTTTAAGGTTATCAAAAATACAGCAAAAATATTAACAATTTTTAATTAGAAATCTGTTTTCCATCAAAATTACTCGCGTAAATTTTGGGACACCGACTAGTTACATCTAGTGACTTTTGTTTTGAGGTTATCTCGCTCCCTCCAATCTCGCGTATGAGGGTAAAAATTCACGAAGCTTGGAAATGTTACACGTGAAAAAATTAGTCGAAAATGGGAAACTGCGGGAAATCGTAGCAGGAATGCAGGAATGGAACGACGATGAACGGTGTTCAATAAACTAGTGCTAATTAGACGGAACGGCTTACACGTGTAACGTGCACGGACTAATGAAATTTGTTTGTCAATTAAATGGCGATGCCGGTGGATTTTCCCTATACTTTGCCCCCTGGTCGGTACACTAATTAATTTCCACGCTCGAGTTCACTTTATTTATGCGCGACAGGCTTCAAAATTGCAGCACGGTCGGCTTGTATATTTACGCGGGCAGGTAGACTGCGCAGACCGCAGTGTGCAAAAATAGCTCGCCGCGAATTGGGACCGGCGTTTCGCTGACCAAAACACCGCGTACTCTCTGTAAATTGATCCCAGACTGAATTGATAGCCGGAATATTCGGGGCTTTCTTTATTTGAAAACGAGGGAAAAAAAAAAAAAAAAAAAAAATCGAGGGAAATACCTTTTTTCGTTGTGTTGCGATCTGGTTTACGCTGTTCCCGCTGTTTCGACGTTGCATGAATATACATAGATGTATGTAAGGTTAGGTTTCATTTTCTCGCCCGGTTTAGATAAACCAATAGAGTTTATGAGGTTAGGTTTAGGTTAGATTGTGTGGGGTGTCCCAAAATTCACGCTAGTAACTTTGATAGAAAAAGTAAATTTTTAATTAAAAATCGTAAATATTTTTGCTGCATTTTTAATAACTCTGACCTGTCAGCTGTCACGCAGTGCTTTTTGTTTCATTGGCAACACATTATTGCATAAATGGCGTCAAATTCAAATCTTGCGTGAATTTTGAGACTCCCTTTATTATTTGACAATCGTTCAGTTTAAAAAGCAAAATTGTAATTGAGGTTATGATTCGACTGTACAGTGTTTCGTGCTATATGAAAGTGTCATTTTGTATATTACGTGCATATATATGTTGGTAAAAACGATTTACATAAAATTTTAAATATTTGGAGAGAGAAGTAAGTACTTAGAGAATAAATAATATCTGTACAAATATTATTTAAAAAACTATCTTCACACTTATAATTAAAACTGAAATATATTTAACATCACTGATCAGTGTTTCTCAACCTCTCTAAGCCTAGTTAGGTCTCCACGGCACACCATAATTGCTGAACGATTTTTATTTGCTGGAAACGACGACATATTTTAACCACGTGATTAAAATTATGTAACTATGACATTGCTCGGTCGGTAACCAATACCGACCGTTCCATATTTCTCTTAATACGAGATATTTCGATTATTAACAAAATTTTATCGAAATTCTTGAAATGCAACGATCGATAGATACACACAAAATTAAACAGTCCTCTAAACTCAACCAATAAGAACACGCTTAGCAAAATATTTTCCCATTTCACCGTTCGAACCATTTCCAATGAAGTACAGATGTAGAACTCCCCACCACGAGACCCGATAGCATGAAATTATTGTAGATAATATGTGGATAGTTAGTCCACGATTAGTCTGTCCAACGGATTATATTCCTCCCCTTTTCATTCCCGTGGTGCCCCGGGGGCAGCACCGTCGTGATAAATGACCGAATCCTTTAGCGTTTTTTAGCCGCGGACCGCTTAGCTGATTCGTTCTCCCCTCCCCTCCCCGCCCCGCCACCCGAGCACACGAGCCGTCCTTTCCCCACCCTTGCCCCTCCTGTCCCGGAACCTGCGCCGGCTGGACGAAGGTCGTCGCTACAATTTCGCCGTAAATCACTGCAAATCGTTGACGTAAAACGGCACGGGTAATTAGATACACTAACCTGCGACGGTGCGCGTTTCTTGCGCGTCAGCGAGCGACGAGGCACTCTGCTCCCGATTCAACGTGTTTCTTTTCATACTCTGCAACAATAACACGGTAACCGCTGCATTTACTTTCGACTTTGAAGTTATAATCGGTTAATCGTACGGGGATATTTCTTGTAATCCGATTTTAAAAAATCGATTTTTTGTTTTTGCATTTTCTCAAAGTACACGTTCTCGAAAATGGCCGTGCGAAAGGATTTGTTCGAATTCGTAAAATTGGCGAGGTTATAGAGGTTCGAAGTGCGACTTACAGGCAATGTACAATGGGTAATAGAAATTTCGAGCGTCTTTTTTTCGAAACCGTATTTTTTGAACTGGCTGACGGGATATCTCGGGTTCTAATTGACCGATCGACTCGAAATTTGGTGGAGGTATTCAGAGGATGTACCTTTATCGCGTGAACCACGGATTTCGAAATCCGACGTTTTTTTCTATTTTTTTTTACCGCCCAAAGGACGAAAAGTACAAGAAAATCGATATTTAAGTTTCAAGATGCTGCCATTTTTTTAATTCTCGAAATTTCGCTGTTTCGATAGTTCATGCTATAGCCACGTATATACCAATTCAGATACTTTTTGGCTTTTTCGTTTCTGATAAACAGATGGTCCAAAATCACGTCAGCCATTCGATCTCGTTTGTAAAAACGTGATTTATCCAAGGCTATATAATTTCCACAATTTTCAATAATTTCGTCAACAAAAAATTGGAAATGTTCTTCAAGTATAAATAAATCTAGGCGTGAAAACTGCATAGCAATAAGTATCATAGTTTCTTTAGAAAAAAATCCCAAATATGTCGATTTTTATTGTCCGGATTACAAGATTAGCCCCTTAATTCTTTTAATACCGTAGAATATATAGGCTTTTAATTTTTAATAAAATTACTTTCTTCTTTCTTTCGCGTTATACTACATATATAATTCGCAGTAACGCAATAACGAATATTATTAAAATTAATTGTTACGAATTTTGAACATTTTGAACAAATTTGACACTTACATAAATTTCCTATCCTTTCATTGTCAAAAATAAAATCAAATAGCAATTTACCCTTAAAATTATAGCACTACCACATACTTGCACACACTGTGCATGTACGAATGATAAGACTATGCATTTCAGACTGCAGGACTTATGAAGTCCTAATGCACATTACGAATGTCTTCACAGTAGTATGTACAACTGGGGTGCAAACTGTCATTACGACCACGATACTGACATTTCCGATGATGTATATACCTCTTCCATGTAACAATTTAGCATACAATACATCAACCATCCACAGCTTCATCGAATGTATTAATTTCCAGAGTGACTCAGACTTTCATACTTTCATACAGTTACAGTCAGCCAAGTATCCCTATCGGAATAATTAAGAGTCTCCATGAATCAGTGGGACCATTAACGCGTGCGCCCCGCGAACGAGCAAGAAAATTTCTAACCTAAAACGCGACACCGCGGCTAATTTCGCGACTCGTCGACGTTTATCGTCGAATCCTTTTAGCCAAGACAATAGGGTGCGATCACTGGCAAGAAGTTTTATCGGAAAAGGAGCCGAATCGCGGCGGGAAAAAAGGGGACGGAATGATTCCGTCATTAACGCGACGGTGCCCCCTAACGACGCGTCGTACTTCGTCCAGCTGGGAATCTGCCCTCAAGATCGTTAGCGTTTTAATGCGGGAACTCCCTCGGGAATCGGTGGCACCGGGATGGCAGTACACGGCTTGGCTCTTGCCTCTTAAACCTCCCTCCGAGAACGTTCATATTTTCATTTGGTGTCATTAACGGATTACGCGCTGTGCGTTTTTGGCGTCGACGTAAAAGCGAAATTGCGTTATGGCACGCATTAACAGGGATGGTTTATTAATCGTAAAAAGAAAACAAAAAGTGAACGCTTCTTCTTGTGCGGGGAAGAAATTGGGGAATGGTTTTGAGGTTAGACGAGAGTCATATATATGTCGGTAAGGTAGTGCACGCAAGATGGCGAATGGGTTTTGACTCTTTTTGACTCGAATGAGTTTTTAGTTCCTTTCTTTACATATAATTTACATATAAATGTAAAAAGCAAAATATAACAAATTATAAATGAATTATATATAATATAATTATCTAATTTAGACGACATTCGGATTATTAGGTAGTTCAGAGAGTTCAGAAAATTCTAGCAGGAAAAGCTAGGTTAGGAATTCCAAAGTAAACGTGCTCCTGTTTTTGAAGTAAGCATTTTACCAAATACGTGTGTTTTTCTAAACACATACCTTTCAAACAAACAGAATATTCCATAGAACACGAAATATTCGAAAATACAGGCTGTTAGGAAATATGCGCCATATTTCCTAACCTAAATTCATATAACAGTGTTCGGCAACGGTGTCTAATGACAAGAAAGAAAATCAGCTTCCATAGTAATAGCCTAGTGAATAAAAATAGTTCAATCGAGCAGCACTGGTGGCTCAGACCGATCAATTAACCGTGTCCCTATAAAATCGAACCTCGAATTACTTTAATCGCAGGTGGCATTACGCGATACCGCAGGGAAGAGAAGCACGATTGAATTAGATGGCGCGCAATCCGTCAGGGATGCAATGAAATCACTTATAGGCGGCGTAAATGTCGCCGTTAAATTACATTTAATGCCGTGGCGGACACATCACGAGTCGAGGCGGTCGTAATCGATGAATAAGCGAGCCCCGTGGATTCCGTGGAAAAGCGGCAAATGTGATTTTAATGTCAAGCGGCTCGCGAGAGCCCGTATTTTCCATGGGTGTGTCTCTAACGACCCGGCTCGATGGCCCGCGGCTACTTTTACCATTTTGTTACGTTATGTTTGGTTATGTTACGTCCATTCGTCGTTCACTGATGCTGCTCGGCACATCTATTACGAATGCGAAGCGACTCGTGCCATCTCGTGCAGGAATTATGAAACTCGTGCGTATTTCAGAGGTTTTCACTGCTTTTATTATTGCCAATAATAGAGTGCAGAACATGTTGATTTATAGGTTAATTTGAAAACTTATTCCGTCTGATTCGTGGTTGTCCAGAATACCCCTCATTGTCGCGAATAATCCTATTTCTTGGCTATTTGGCAGTTTGACAGTCAGCAACATGCTGGCAGGACGAATTTGAAATTGACGAATTTTAATCTGACATTCGATAAATACACGAAGCGTGTAATAAGAGATAACTGAGTTTATAATTATTTCAATTACACTTAAACGATTACTGGTGATATAATTACAGATATGCTTATATCCATAAAATAAAGGGTGTCTCAAAATTCACGCAAGATTTGAATTTCGCGCCATTTGTGGGGTAAAGTGTTATCAACAAAAGAAAAAATACAGTGTGACAGCTGACAGTTCAGGGTTACTAAAAATGGCGTCTGCACGAAGAACAACGCGTCTTCATTGTTGAACAATATTTTTAAAATAACGAAGGTTTGTTTGCTTTCTGTCAAAATTACTTTTTCTAGTACTCCAGTACTTTTCTGGTATTACCAAAGCTGATATCGAAATGAAACATTTAAATCCAAATTGTTAACCTGAATTACGAATGATATTACATTTTTAATAAATAATTTTTAACTGTTCTTTCTCGGAACTAGTGCAAATTGTACGCTGAGAATTGTCATTCGATTTTGTCATCGACTCTTGTTGTCCACGGAATTAATCACGGATCTTAAATCATCAGCTGTACCCATGATTAATTTCTTCGATCCGTGGTTAATTTCGCTCGAAATCCAGCGTGAGCAGCGTTTTCAGCGGCGGTGATCAGCGCGACGATCGCGAGCCGGGTCCATGGGTTGTCCAGAGCAGCACAGAGGGAGGAAAACAGCGAGCGCGTATCGGTTCCCTCGTTTCATCGGGCTCTCCAATAAGAGTACACCTATAATTTGTAACGTGGCTCGAGTACCGGCCTAATGGAAAAATGCGTTCCGGCCAATTTTACGCGCAGCCGTCAGGTTGTTGGGTTGTTGGCCGGGCAGCGAGGACGGGATGAGAAAAAAGGAAAAGAGAAACCGCGCGGGGGAGGGAACCGGAGACGAAGGAAACACGCGACTGTGCGAAAATTGACCGCGTGGTCTATGAGACGAGTCCGGGATTCAACCCTTGGACGGACTGTCGGTCACCACGACGAGGAGTTTGGGTGCGATTACTCGATATCGAAACGAGTATAACGCTATACTCGTTTCGATGTAAGTGACATTACGTGAAGGATAATATTGCCTAGTTATAACATATAAACAGTATATAATATAACAATATATAGTACCACAGTATATAATATATAATATGTAGGATGGCGAAACTGGTCTTGAGACACCGAAAATTCATGAAAGAACAAGAACACGATAACGCAAACTCAAAACTCGTAAACTGATTTAACTCAGGGAAAGAACACCAAGATAACGAAAACACACAAAGACTCGCTCTTTTAAAACTCTCTTTCCAACACCAAGCGACTCACGCTTGCGCTGGTCACAACCGATTTCAAAGGACTCTGTTTTGGTTGTCAAGGACCACGCTTTCATGCTTTCCTTAACCTACGCTTCACCTCCCCGTAGAGGAGTCACGCAACTTAATTTTGTTATATAGAATAACTTTTCGATTTGCTTCTAGAAGATATCGATCGGTTTACAATTTGTTTTTGTTGGCAATAGCCGATTCGCGATTTCTTTTGGTATCCTACATAATTATATAGAACTTTACAATTTGTCCAATGGACATTTGGTAAATTCATTTAACGTGCGATTCATATCACGTGGGTGTCAGCACTATTGAGACATCGTTCGTTAAATTTGATATATTAATCAATGTTGCGACGGAAATAATACATGGAAGACGTGCCTAACCGTCCTTCTTGAGGATTAAGAAATTATAAATTAAAGACGAGGACTATGGACAGCAGTACTTGGGACCGGACCAACAGACCCAAGAGTCGCACGTGCGACTGACCTGCTGAAACGCTAAATAGACGTATCTATAAATCTTAAAACTGAACGATAGTTTTGAGACAGTTTCCCTCTGCTAATCC